TGGACGGCTATAAGTGATTATTTCCTTCAGTTTGTTTTTCATGGATGTTCTAAAGATTGCATTACACTTGAAATGTTTGGAAGAGTAGTGAAAAGAATGTGATCAGTTTTCACAATCATGTATTGGAGAGTGCTTCGGGGAGTTGTGTGACAATTTTAGCTTGTTATTAGATGTTTGTGGAAGTGACAGATAGTCCAGTGGGTAGGGGTGTGTTCAGGGGTGTGCTAGAAGCCCAGGGTTGATTCCAACCTGAGTACAATATTGTTTATTAAACTTGCTGCAAAATGTAATAAAACTGTGGCTCCTTTCACTAGTCTTTCCACTTCAATTCATTCTCTCTTTCCCTTCCACATTCCCTTGCCTTCTCCTTCCTTCCTCACTCACTCATTCCTTCATGGACACAATACTTCCTCATTCTCTCCCTCAGTTACCTATTTAAAACTATCTTTCTCTATGTCACCCAGGTAATCAATTCCCAGCTTCCTCCTTCCCTCAGTCTTTCCCTGACTAACCACTCACCCACTCACTGATTGTCATGATGAGATGTATTTCCACAGTTTACACACTTTCAAACGGTAAATAATAATTTCATGTGAAGTGCTGTAGAATTTCCCTCCATTAAACCATTGTCTGATGGCTTATCTCAGGAGACACGAACAAAGAGTAGACACACATAAAAGTTCCTTACAAGTTGCCAATACTTTTTTGTTTGTCAGGCTTTTTTTTAAATTTGGTTCTGAAAGTGTGATGCTTTGAAGAATCCCCATGGGTTGGGCAGTGCTGTGATGTTTTTAAAGAATGGCTTTTGTAGTCTAGTTTACTTTGGTATTGTGGAAACAAATTAGATAAACTCTCACATTTAAGGGCGCATTAAATAGGTCATATCAATCTACTCTTTAGATGGGTATGTTGACCTTTTCTACACTGTCCCAACCAGAATGTGCCCCTTGCTCACCAATATTACCCATTTTTAACCACTGTCTACTTCGTCTGAATTGGAATCTACCCTTTCCTGATCAGATTTGTATTCTTATCAAACATAAATCCTGGTTGGTGAATATTGTAATCAGTGACAAACGAGAGGAAGCCTTAATTTGATTTGTTGGATCCCACCTACAAAATATCGCAGTGTTCATCAGTAATTTCTATATTTATGCTTGAATGAATCCATTGGCCATTAAGGATGCTGATTCCCATGTGGGTGCAAGATTGGGAGCTGATTCCTGTTGACCCTTCCATGATACCGCTACAAATGAGTCTAAAATCCCACTAACAGCTCAAAAGCCTCTTCACCACAAATCTGTTGTGTTCCAGCACTTGAATGCGTTCAGGAGTGCCTATCCACAAATGAAATTCAGTGAGCCATGTTTGATTATTTCTTTGGCTCACAAGGTTTAATACACAAGATCTATTTAATATTTAAGCCAATACAGTAAAAAGAAATATTCCAGAAAAGTTGTTTGTGAAGGGCCTACGTGCTGTCTCCCATAACAGAATGTAAATAGATCAATGCATTCATGGAGGCCTTTACGTTGTGGCAGCTAATGTGTTAACGATGATACCCCCATGCAGACCCTGCCCCTGCCGGTGATTAGATATCTGAATACTGACACAAGCCTCTAGTCACAGTCATGCATTGATCTGGGAAGAAATAAGCTATATTGATTTATATAGATCCTTTATAATTACCATCCATACCTATGAACCAAAGAGTTATACATTCATTTTGGGGTCAATGACTGACGTTTTAATATTCTTGATTTCTTGAGATTTTTTCAGTCTGTTCTTTGAATAGTAACATTATTTTGTTTCTAATGGCAACATATGAACTTTTGAGACATTTCAAATGTACAATTATGTTTATATTAGGTCTGGGGGTGAAACATGATGACAAATCTTTTTTGAAAATTCCATTCCCCCCCCCCAACAGAATACCAACTTGATGGCCTTTTTTATTATGTTTATCATCAATATATGAGCGGCAAATCGTGAATCAAGCTGTCAAAATCATATCTGACCGTACTCACTACTTAAATTCGGAATACAACCTCCTCCCTTCAGGCCGCCGCTACAAAGTTCCAATTGTGAAAACTAAGAGAGCCCGTACATCCTTTATTCCAAGTACCATATCTCTCTTAAACAAATGTGAAGATACCTAAATCAAAGAATTTATGTAAATATGTTTGGTATCTCTCTAATGTGTCAGTAGCTCTGCTGATGTAACACAAATTCCTGAAAAGGCATTAAAGTATTATTCTATTCTATTCTATTTAAGGTTATATAAATGGGGATAACAAAATATTGAAGTAAATTTGTGATGCTGTGGCTTTTATGGATTTAGGAGACTCTGCCTATGGACCACAGATTAAGGTATTCATATCAGGGTTAAATGGGGAGTGTTTCGTAAAGTTTGTGTTGAAGTATCTTTTTTATGGATTTTATTGAGTTAATTTGGGGAATTTGTCAGGGGAGTAGAAACAGTTTGCTCACCTACAGTTTAAGAGACATTTACAAATTTTGATGTGTGATCTGTAACTGATGTATGCCATGATACAATGCTAAATGATTGAAATACAAATGGATGAGAATTCCAGGTTTGAAAACAAGATTTCATATCAGCAATGTTTCATAGCGATAAGCAAATCACAGAATCTGTCAGTTAGCATGTGATCCTGTTTGAAGATATTGTCATTTACACTAAAGACGAATCCGAAGAGAAGAATCAGCTAACATAGGATTAATCCATCCATTAATCTAATAACAGTCTTACAAATACAGTGAATAAGATTTCCAGATTTGAAAGCAAGGTTTAATATGAGTAGTGTTTCATATAAGAAAACAGATTACACAAATGTGGCATTTAACATGCGATCATGTTGGAAGATATTGCCTGCTGCACCAAAGAGGAATCACAACAGAGTTGCCAGCTAATGATAGATTAATCAGGACTGACCATAAAAGGATCTGTCTCTATGCACCCGTGATGGTCCGGGTTAAAATATTGGCCTCGTAAGATGCGACTAACGGGATCGGGTGGTCAGGCTCGCTGACTTGGTTGACACATGTCATCGGTTCCCAATTGCGAAGATCGATGCTCATGCTGTTGATCAGTGGATTGTCTGGTCCAGACTCAATTATTTACAGACCGCCACCATATAGCTGGAATATTGCTGAGTGTGGCGTAAAACTAAACTCACTCACTCACTCACTCACTGTCTCTATGCAGCATAAACTGATGCAAGGCAAATACAGTCTGGAACCAGTCTTTTATAACATGGCTTAATTACAGTACCCGACAGTCATTGTACATTGATAGTAAATGATTTTTGAATGCATGGACCTTTGGAGACCTTCGTTGTTGTTGTTGTCATTACCATACCATCTTGAATTAGGTATTGACAATAGTATCAACAACAGGTTTATCAGACCCTGACATGATTTTTTTATTGGCTGCTATGATTTACTTGTGCTAACATTTCAGAAACAGAAAACAAAAACATGAAAGGCTATGAGGTGACATTTCACAGCCTGTAATCGGCCTTATTATTACATCACCTTCCCTGATGTGAGTTACCTGCCAAGCACGTGAAGTGCTAATTGGTTCAGTTTGCCTATGCCTGATCATCACTGGTGTTTACCAATGTTATTGATTTCAGTAAGCAAACATGTAGGTGAGATATAGCTGATAGCTTATTATGTTTATCTGCTGGTGATAGTGTGGGAATAGAAAACAAAATGGCGGGATAATGATGGTGTACACATTGTTAATGGGGGCAAGGCTTGCTGAGCTGTCCAAGTCTCACAATAAGCTGTACAGAGTTGTATCCCTTAGCTGTGTCAGGACATGCTTGTCATATGATGAAATTTGCTCTCAATATTATCCATGGTCTGTCAAAAGCATAAGTATGTTTGTGAGTTTCAATGAAATGTTGAACATGGTATTTTTGTTAGTTGTGTATGCTTAATCTCGCAAGAGACCCATGAAAATATCTGGCTTAGAATTGGTCTTCAACAACCCAAGGTTGTCGCAAGAGGTGACTAACGGGATTGGGTGGTCAAGCTCACTGACTTGGTTAACACATGTCATCATATCCAATGTGTATAGATCAATGCTCTTGATGTAAATCACTGGATTATCTCGATTACAGGCCTTCAATGATGTACAACTGTTATAGTTTATGTTCACACTATGAACACTCTCTTCGTTTGCATTGCCATTGGTTCTCAATGAGTCTACTTGATTTTCAAGCAATTGTCATTGAATAATGAAGTTTATATGTTGTATCTCCAGGTAAGAACAAGTAAAATGTTAACAAAAAGCCATATTGAGAGGCTAGATGTTTGTGTCACTGCCAGTGGTGTTGAGGTTCAGAATGGTGGTATGAACTCATACTCTATCGTTGATATCACAGGAGCACAATGTAGATAAAAAAGGACAGTTCTTGTAAGAGAGGTAGATTCATGAGTTCTTGTTGAAATTGTTTGTGTCCTTTTAAAGCTGCACATTTATTATATTTGGGGAATGTTTTGACCGAGAAGAAGTAGACACTTTTCAGATTGTCCCATTCTGGGGGGCCCCAGTTAAACATGTACCGGTACATAAAAGGATCGAACATGCATGAACAAAATAGGTGATAAGATAACAGATTCAGGATTGATTTGAAACAAGTCAAATAATGGTTCCTGTCACAAATGTGTATCTTATACTAAATTTCTGAAACATTTAGCGATAAACTCAATGCAAATCAAAACGTGTTGTTGTTTTTTAACTGTTTTGTTTTATGTTAGAAAACTGTAGCAGAAGATGAATTGGCAACAATCTTCAAATAACTTGATGTCTCTGAGCTGTTTTCCCAATTTAGACTTATTAACTCCTAACTTCTTCTTCTAAGCAGCTGCCATATTTAACCAAAAACTGCTGATGCGGCTTAATGCCTAATACCCACTCACTTACCATTTTCATTTCTCTTGCTATATAAAATGATCTTTGTTCTTTTCAGTGGAGAAAAGAAAAATGTTCGCCCAGGTGCTCCATCAGAGCCAAATGAATACAACTTCAACTATAAACGTCGAGGCCTGTTCTTAATCATCAACAACAAGAACTTCCACCCCAACACCGGGCCAACAGACAAGGGAAGGAACTGATGTGGATGCTGAGAGACTTGAGGAACGATTCCAAGATTTAGGTTTTGAGGTCAAGAGATATGATGACGTTACCAGATCAAGAATTTCGACTCTAATGTATGATGGTGAGTGTTTTTTTTAATCTTATGTTAAGCGTCGTCTTGTTGATTATTTTGATAATCGATTCATAATTGACATAAAACTGTTTTAGTTTGGTGGTTTTTATTGAAATGTATCCCAATTTGCCAGATATAGCCAAGCGGATAAGTGCAGATTTTTCACTTAATTGTGCACTTTGTGTTACAAGCATGAAATTTGGCATGATTGTAGCTTATACCCTTCTTATTAAATGAAGATCGAGAGGCCTCGCAGATTTTTTATATTTTCCGTAATTTGGGGAAAAGGGGAAAAAATCATGTTTTCTACTATTTTCGTCATAACTTTTTACAAAATTCTCCAATTCTCATAAGTCATATATCAAATTGTAGGAAATTCATAGCTGATCATTTTTCATCTATACATGTCTTTTATCTTTAAGGGTTAGGATAACACAAAGTGCACAATTTGATCACTTATCCGCCGGGATAGTGATATGATTCTATTTAATGTTGTATTGAGCACATTCTTGTTGATTATTTTTATAATCAATTCATAATCAGCATTAATTTTGAATTTTACTGTATTTTATTCAAATTTAACAGATGGAGGGTGTGATATGAATCAGTTTTATTTTATTTCTCAATGAAATGTGTAGCAATTTATCAGATGAAGGGAATGTGTAAGTTGGCTTAATTCAATGCCCCCAAATAGGCTGAGAGAACAACTTACATTTCACTGAAGATTCCAAAACGGTAGGAAGTACACTTAAATGAATTAGTTTCTTATTTTTACATTTAAAGTTCTAAATCAGAATATCCTTAATTGAAGACTTATTGTTAAAGTTATATCAGGGGACCTTAAGATTTGTCTGTTTGAGACAATTTATTCACAAGATCTTTGTTTATTGATACTTTACACTGAAACGAGTATTAGCACCTGTCAGTAGTGCTATTCAAGTGTCAGTTTGGATTTTAAAGGATTCCTGGGATTGTATAAAAAAGTTGATGCCATGGGTATTAGTGTGCAGATTTTTACAGAATGCTTAAACAAATGAAAAACCAAGACTATTTATTCAGGTTTTAGTCTTGAATATCACCCAAATCCCTCATTAGTTAAAACAGTTTTCTCTGATTTCAATTATCTCTTCAGCTCCTGTGTTTTACTGCTTCTTAACACAAACTTACAGGTACCATTTACCATACAACTACCATCTGGAAGCCAAGCATTAGTCATGGCTGTGTGGGAAGGGGAGATAAATCTTTGACCATCCAGCCTTAATGAAGACTTTGCATTTTGCTGCCATGACTGGGTTCATTTATTTAGGGTCAATGCCTGAGTAGCTATCTTACAGTTGTGCACTAAATAATGTTAGTTCTCAAGCAAACATCAAAAGAGCATTCAGCAGAATCATGTATTCTGGCCAATCTCTGCAATGAAAAGAGTGACACTTTCTAGAAGATGCAATTCAATCAAGAAAACATGACTGACAGCGAGAATCATGATTTTAAGCTTTACGTCTTTGTGACTTGTGAAATATGACATATTTTAACAAAAACTCACCTTACCTCAAGATTACATGCCATGAATTTTTACCTACTACAATATGATCTTGACTATAAAGATAGATGACATTTTTGTATCTGTGGCTTGTTTTTGTCTGGTTACATCATCACATGGTGTAAGAGTATGCCTAGAGAAAGGAAAGCTAGTGGTTCAATCCCTGGCCACGTAATGCTAGAGACATTAATAGATGGTACATGTTGTTACTTTGCCCAGTGCCCCACAAATATAGTGTGGAAAGAAGGACCTAAGAAAGACTGTTGGACATAGCAACCAGCATTAGTTTGAACAACTAGAAGACAGAAATGGACGGACGGACAGACAGACAAGACGGTGCATGCTTTTCACTATATATAGTGTGTGCAATAGTCATGAATGTGACACTGAACCAGTATTCACCTGAGATCACGATTACAGGTGTGACACTAATGACAAATAAAGATCTTCCCTATATGTTAATCATTTGTAGGTATTTATTTCACCATGCTGCTTCCACCATGATGCTAAACAGTGAAAAATTGTGTATACTGGGACTCTCTATTATCACGGGCTCTCTATTATCGCGGCACGCGAAAACATCGGGAAAGCAGAAACACCACGCCCCGCATCGGCTGTTTACATGTGCAAATTATGTAAACTATATTCATCGCTCTTGAAAAAGTCATCTATTTCATTTGAATGTTATGTGTAATTGGAGAAATATTAAAGCATTCATCTTTTCAGTAAGTTCTAAAAACATTTTGAAACTAGCATGACCCCTACTGCCATTACATCTAGCATGAATCAAAACTTACTTCATCAAAAGCAATCCTGCGACAACTATAAGGTCATTTGCGTATTTTCCATGCTAAAAATATAACAGGAAGTGACATATTTATGCAACTTCACTCTGCACACGGCAGCAACTTGTATGGTACGTTTTAAGCCGGAAAAACAATATTTTGTAACGTTATTGTTAGCTTGTATCCAAATGAATAGAAGTTTCTGATGTTTTGGTTAAAAGCATGATGATATTACTAATGTGACTGAAATTCCTAAATATTTTTTAATGATCAAACTATTTAGATTCGTTACTTGTCTTAGTAAACGTTTCACAGTGTCATCTGCTTGTACCGCGTGCCAAAGTAAGAAAATAGCAATACCGCGATAATAGAGAGTTGCTTCAATTTCCGAGTCAAACGAGACAATCGGAATTGCCGCAATGGTATTAAACGAGTTGCGACTATGTATCACATTATTTGTCACAGAAATGAAGATTAAACATCAGTCAACTGAAAATATATATAAAATGCTAAATGTCAGTAGCCGTTCATAATCCCGATGGCAACAGGATTAACTACCGCGATAATAGAGGGTCCCATGATAAATGACTGGTGTTTGTCAAACTGGTCTAATTTTTGTCATCTGAACTTATACATTCTCTCAGGAGAATCATCTTCAGTCAAACAATAAAAAAATGTTGTTTGAAACCATAGAAAATGAATATGTGACCGTGAAATGATTAGCACTTCGACTTCTGTGAGTTGTTGTTTTGGCAAATGACCAGAACCACATGGTGGCACAAGTGATTTTTCCATCTAATGGAATAAACGGCCTCCGCTGCAAAAATTCAGAGTACTTGATAGAGTTACTTTCATGGTCAATAAGATATGTTTGGAAGAAAAATACAATAAACTAAGAGAAACATTTATTGCCCTGTGAAGTATCCACAACAGAACAAAATATGAAAATACAATGCCTTGTAGTATCAAATTATCGTTTTCTTTTGATTTATCTTTGAATGGTTTTCACGAAAAAGTTAATTGAATATAAGGAATCCAAACTGCTGCCTGAAGACCTTCTGGAAAACCAGCTCAGCGTGAGACTATTTGACTGACATGATTGCATTTGTTCTTGTTGTTACAGCATTAGCTTCAAAGCAAGGACATTGATCCTTCATCAGCCAAAATTGCTCTGTCAGTCAGCTAAGAATTGTTATGAGAATTTGTCCTGATGTTGTTTGTATTGTTTGCTAACTTCAAAGAGTAGCAAACGTAACATGAAGATGTTATTTCCAGTAGGCAGCTGTTGCTATATGGTAGGTTTGTCGTAATTATCCTGGCTGGATATGGCCGCCCATAATTACACTAACAGCCCTCTTGTACATGCAGGGGAGCTGAACTAATGCTGGACAAGCAGGGTGTTTTAAGATGGTGACATTAATGTGTGAAGTGATTTTGCATTTACGTAAAACCATGTTGAGGACTCTGAAGCTTAGCTATTCATCATTTCCTTAGAGATGTTTCTGATGGGCGGCAACAGTAACGAGGGAAATAATGTCATCAGGAAATCTGAAGAGTTTGCTGACGTCAGCAATATGTGACGACTCTATTTGTTTGGTTATGAAGAATTTGTACTGTTTTGTGTTTAAGAAATACAGTTTTCTCTACCCCATGTATTATATAATAAAGTACACTTTCGCCCTGAGCTATTATAGTTAAAGTATGAGGACACTTGCATCTGATAAAGTAATGTCGGCACCTTTGATCTTTTAACGAAGCATCTTAGAAATAATATTATTGTTGCTATAGACAAGGAAATGAGCATGTGATTATCTTGGGGATGGGACATGCTTCTATGTTTCTGAATGTTTGTTCCAGGAACAGAAAAGAGTAATTAGTCCTCAGGTGTACCACTGGATATACATTGTTCATTGTTGGATGTTCTGAAGAAGATGTTTGTGTTTTTGAAAGATTGTTTGGCTCCTACTTTCACAGAAGCAAACTGCATGTTCCGTGTTTGTGAGTGAGTGAATGATTTTGGTTTAATGCCACTTTGAACAGTGTTCCAGTTATACCACGGCATGTCAGCTGAATGTGGGAGGACAGCGCACAGTGATTCAGGGCTCAGAAGTTTACGTCTTTAGTGAACCCTCGAGCATGGCTATGTTGCTGAGAAGACTAATTGCTGAATGTTGCTGAATCATAATCAGGATTCAAACCCACAATTACAGGTTTCGGGTGTGAACAAGGGATGCAACTCTACAGATCAGATTGTGGGACATAGATAAACTGGGCTTCCATTCCCTGCGTGTTCTGCCCAAACAATATCGTATCTCCTCCACAGCATGGATGCACAGACACACACACCTTCAGGGGATGTTTTGACGATCTTGTATCGTCCAGTTTATCCTGATGTCTTACTATTGGCACTTCAAGTGATTGTGTATGCTGAAGACATTCTGTCTGTGGAGCTAATAACATAATGTTGGCCTTAGTGTTATCAAAAAATAAAACGGAAATATGCTATGGACAGGAAGTAATGGGCTTGTCTGGACATGGCCGCCATAGTGATGCATTATGGGTTAATGTGGGATCAAACATGGCGGCAGGCTGGATTTCCAGATGATCCCTCTTAATTTATTGTATCACAGACTTAAGAGGTTGTCCAAGGGATTATTATTTGGGAAACCTTCGTGGCAGTAATT